TCTACTGTAAGATATTCAAAATTTCTGTTGTTGTCATTGACACAATGGAACCATGTTATAGTATTATAGACCAATATTTCAGCTGATAGATAAGAAAACATGAGGGACATTAAATATATCAAGTCAAGTGAGCTCCAGGTGAAAGACACAAAGAAACAGAGTGAGAAATGAAGGGCAGCAGGCAAGAGATACAGGGAGAGAAAAAATTACAGTGATTTTAAAGGGACCAATCAGACTGGTAAAGATGTCTGTGGTGATGTCACGTCTAAGGTTAGAGAAAGACGACCTCTGGCAGGGGCGTTTATTATGGAGAATTGGCAGGATAGTACACGTGAACAGAGAACAATGACTGAACAGGGAGCACTGGACTGAGAGACGCTAATACACGTGACTAATGGAGCGTAAAGGCAAGGCAGCTATGGCTGGTAAACATGAGGGTAGGAACAAGAAGTAAGGCTAACAAGCTTCAGGCACGGCTGATTGGAAGCCACGCCGGAGGGAAACGCAGGGGGCAGACAAGCAGGGCGGGGCTGGACGTGACAGGTTAGTCTACAAAGATCCTCATCAGACCTTCTTTTATGATGCGCATTACACATCACCGTTACGTTTTTTTTACTGCAGATATACTTCTGCTGTTTAAAATATCTTGTGTCTGTTAGAATGCATTTCTGTGTGTAAATGTATTCGGATCATATTTATATTCAAATGTTTATGAAATACTGTAGTACAAAAAAATGATCTCTTTTCTGTTTAGTATTGTAGCAGCCCGGCACACCCAGAAATCAAAACGGCAGGAGACAAAGCAGCTTTATTCAAAAGAGAGTTCATCTTTCATTTAAAGTGCTTTATAAGACCAAACACAACCATCAAACAACCTGCCTATACACACCTATACGGGGTATATACCTACTGTATACACCGGTCCAGCATGCCGCGCTGCCCGATCCGTCATTGACCTGTACCATTTACTCTCAATACTGCACGCTGGCTCAGTGGCGGCTCTCTGGTTCAGATCTCCAGGGTCCTCCAGCGACCTTCGCTCCCAAACCAACTCTTGTGTAAACACTTGAAAAATTTAAGCTTCCTGCTATGAAATTAGTAAAATGTGCAACAACACTGAGAAAATACTAGTGCTGGCGTTAAGTAAAACAGCACTTCATCGTCTGAAAAACAACTTTTAGGCCTGCATCTGCATCCTTTTCCAGCAGATGGCAGCATAGTCTAGTAAAAAAAAATGCATACGCTTGTGCTCCAGAAATAGGGGGTGCGTGATTAGATCCACTGTTTGGTGATGAATGCAGCTTCATGTACCTGGAAAATTGAGAAAAATCCAACCTTTCATTAACATAATTTTATTCCAAGAAAAAAAAATCCTTCATTATTTTAAGATGAGTAGTTATTTTTAATACCCATTCCCTGACTTACGAAGGTCAACACACTTCTCCCGTATTTGGTTTGTATGTTCTCTTTCCCATGTTGATGAATGACTAAGGGACTCTGTGTCACCTCATGTTCGTATCCCTGTTAACCAGGAAGTCATGGATTGCAGCTTGAAGGTTCCTATTCATTCCACTCAACTCAAAGATGTACAATTTACAGGGGAAACATGTGTCAGTTACACTGTGTTCACTATAATTTCCAGTGGTGCCAACAATCGTGGCACATGTGTTTTTGTTAAAGATATTTTTTTCTTGATGAAGGATTTTTTTCTTCTTGGAATAAACTTTTGTTAATGAAAGGTTGGATTTTCCTCATTTTTTTCAGTGTGACATGAAGCTGCTAGAGATGCATGGATGTACGTTATTGATCCCTTCGTTACAGTAGCAAATATAAAGTAGTTAATACCACATTCCACATAGCTTAAGTGAAATAAACTATTCTTCTGTTTCAGTAGTATAGGTCATTAGGAGGGTGGGCAGGGATTCCGTGATGAATATAATTCGCAGTTGTGTCGAGGTTTTTACCAATTACATATACAGCTTACTTGATGAGTTTATTTAATTTCTTTCCCTCACCATCCCCAGTACTACATCCCCAGCATACGACAGCAAAGTTAGGTTAACCCATTGGTTCTCAATCTTGTTCCTTGAGGACCCCCTGCCGGAATGTTTTCATTTCAACCCTATCTTAATCAGACTCAGATGGTCCTTAGTAGGCTAATAAGGAATGTGGCAGGCTAAAAGCAGTGTGGGTTGGAATGAAAACATTCTGGTTGTGGGGCAGGAACAGGATTGAGAACCACTCAGTTAATCAGTTATCTATATGCCTGTCAGTCTGTCTGTTTGTCTGTCTGCTGTTTAATTTGTCCTATTCTCGTATGGTCCTAATAGTCATATGGAAATCAGTGGGTCTAATAAAAAGGCTACTGTTTCAAGGTAGAACGGCACTTTCGGCGTTGAGTACGAGCAAAAGAAAAAAAAGATCTGATCACAAAATATCATTAGCCGAGTACTGCTCTTTCCACAGAGCACGCCTGTACACACCCTCTATGTGTGAACGTAGGTATTCAAGTCAAGTTTGATATTTAACAAGACATTTTTAAATTGTAATCTTTCTTTAAACTATTACACTCTATGGTAATTTTGTATTGCTCACAGCGACGTCATTATTTCCTAGGCTCGCGTGCCAGATTACTCACTTCCTTAATGAGATTAACTGTAGGCCTATTTGTTGGATTACGTTTGTTAGCCAGTATCCACGAAATACACAATATCAGAGTGGAAATTTACTATGGCGATGCTACGAAAAATGAACGTTATCTCAAAGTCGGTGTAGTTACTGAGTTTATCAGGTGATATGTGACATTTGCTTACGCGCACCTGCGTTTGTCCTGCTCGTGTATGAAGGTCCTAGTTCCTGCTTACGCTTATCGAAGAATAATAGATTAATTAGTAAATGATAACTGGACAAAATACCACATTAACAAATTAACAGTGAAAAATATCTAACGAACCGTCGACTTATTAGGCTATAAAAATTCACGCATTCATGACCACAAACCATATAATTTTCATTGATTTGAATACATTATTTGAATACAATCCAATAGGCCTATATCGCTCGTTTACCATGCGGTATGTGTTAAGCATTTAAGGCAGGGGTCTCCAACTTCATTTACAGCGCGAGCTATGCTATTTCTATAAAGAAACGGAGCTACGTGTTTGATACATGTTAAAGTCGTTCACTGGAGGGCAGCGATGAAAATTGCCGACTGGATTAATTCTCATTTCACGTCCGTGACAACGCAAACAAAGGTTCGTTCCTGGAAGGTACCCAATGTACAAGTGTATAAGCACTTAAACAAAAAAGATAGAAACAAATGTAATTAATCCTGTTTATGAAAGAATAAAGTGTTATGCGAGCTATGTACTTATTGGTTCCCTGCGCTGGTCCCAAAAAGACGGAATTACACGAATGTATCTTTTAGTAGTGCACTAGTTATGTCCCAGGTGCATGAAACCGTGGAGGACATAGCAGTGTTTTTTTTCCTTTGAAACTGAGGTACTTGATCTTATCATTTTTGGTTCCTTTTGTGTGTTACAGAGTTGCCAACTCTCTCGCACCTGGCGTGACACACGTTCACGCTACTTTCACGCTCACCCAAGAAATCTTACGGCAAGTCTGTATTATTCCATTATAACCCTAAAATTAGTTCGTCCAACGCGTTGGGCTAGTTTGCAAACTCTGCAAACTATTTACAAGGTAATACATCTGTTACATAGCCTACATGTATATGCGTGAGCAGACTTGTCTTGAATTGAAAATCTCACGCCAGCCAGCTGACCAAAGTTGGCAACCCACGTGTTATATATTTGTTCCTTAAGCGCTTGCAAAAAACGCATCTACGTGTTGGTGCTTTGCATTAGGCTTTGAATAATGGGAACATTTTCCTTCTTTTCATTCATCTAACCCCGTATCATGTTCCACTAGCGTTCATTAGTCAAACTGATAAAGCACCTTCTCCTTATCTGCACCTTGCCCAAATCATCACGTTAGGAAACAGAAACTGCTTTGTGTGTGATGACTTTGTTATGCGCTAACAGCCTCATGGGGACGCCTTTCGAGAGATCTAATGGTTGGGGGTATTTAAAACCTCGCAAATAAACCCTGGGTTTTATTTACATGCTGACAGGATCCTTGTGGTGGAACTAGGCAAATCACTCCTCGATGGCCAATACAGCAAAAAAAAAAAATGTTCTTAGTCTGTCACTTAACGAGGACCCGTAGGCGAAGCAAGGCGTTTCTCCACGTCTGTCCTACCTTTCCTGCATTCGGTATGGTGTTATTTCCTCCATGTACCTCGAGTGCATGTATGTGTCCATAATCCACACACAATGTTGTGTAATATTTTGCTTGAAATCGGTACGATTTAAAGAGGCGATACAAAATATGAGCATATATCAAAATGTGTAGGTCTACATGTATACAATCCACAGGCGGAAACACTTGTTCCCCTTGTATGTAGTGTGTGTAATCCCGACCCACACTACACGGAGCACGACGATTTAGTGGAGGGGATACATGTTGAAACATGCCCTTTGAGTCTGGTTAATTAAAAGACCAGTGGCCTGTACTATGAAGCGGGGTTACTGGCTTATCGGGGTAACTTGTTGGATTTAAAGTACCACGGTTTAAATTGGCTTCATATTCGTTCACCTACATTTTGCCCAGACTACCTTAAATCAGACAAGTTACCCCGATAAACCAGTAGCCCCGCTTCGTAGTACAGGCCCCTAAGCTGAGCAGAAATAACCCAAACTAGCACAGAAGAAACAAAATGGAACAACTGCCAGGCTCAGAAAATTCACAAAAGCAAGTGCAACCTTGTGGTAGATAAGCCGATGGCACCGTCACCTTAAATAAGCGCTATCAAAACGCAAATAGCGTGCATTTCTTAACTCCACTAGCTGTGCCGGTTAAGCAGATTAGGGTTACCCAACAAAAGAATAAAGCATGTGGTGTGAAGTTTTTTTCCTCCAAAGATTAGCTGTTTTTAAAGCTTTTTTGTTTATAATTAAGGCTTTTTCTCCTTTATTTTCAATCTGTACATTTACAAAACCACATGGCCTAAATATCGTGGCATTAATCGGGTCATACCATATTCACATAAACACAGAAATTCAGTTGTGGAACATCAAAAATAGAAATATAATTATTTTATGCAGGAATTTTTCTTGATTTCTTCCTTTGGGTTTCACAAGACCAAAAACCATTAGGGCCTGTTAGCCGGTTCAACCGGTTTAACAGTGTATTGCAGAACAGTTATTATGGATACCTTATCTATAAGGAAGTCAAACAAAACGTCATTAGATCATTTGATTCTGAGAACAATTGGTGAAGGGTCACTTAACAAAGTTGCACTATTAAGCCAAAAAGTATTTTAAAATGGCCGTCATATAGCTTTTAAACAGTAACAGACCACTCTCACAAGCATCACTGTTACAATGCAATTTAACTTAGAATCTGCACTAAATATAAGAAACAATGTGATAAACAAAGTGCGTATTCCCTGTGATGGATGTTTCCTGATTATAAGTAAACTGAAATCTTGAACTGTTTATTTCACCACAAACACAGCTCATGACATCACTATGGGCATCACGGGACCGTGGCTGGCTCCTGTCCATGTTTTCTTAATGTCCAGTTTTGTCCATGTGACAGTACAAGTACATGGACACGACCATCGACGCCAACTGAAAGTGGGAAAATTGAAGGGTTATAACCAATATGTAGTTATTTGTATGCAGTTTCAAGAGGAGAAATACTTTTATATATTTGTGCATTTAATCATGCTCTAGCCCAGGGGTCTCCAACTCCGGTCCTGGAGAGCTACTATCCAGTAGTTTTCTATCCTACCTTGCTTCTGATGAGTGACACCTGTTCCTCGTATTTACCCAAAAACATCAGACACCCGGTTAGATAGAAAACCTACTGGATAGTAGCTCTCCAGGACCGGAGTTGGAGACCTCTGCTCTAGCCTGTCACCATTTTCTAGACTGCGCACTTTATCAAAACATCAGCAGTACATATTTTCCCAAGAGCATAGCAAAGTAGGCCTATGAAATACAGGCCTGTGGACTAAACAGGACTACCAAAAATCACATGATTACGGCAACATTCAGTATTTTGATTCAGGGGCGTTGCTCAAGATGTTGGGCCCCATGAATGCATATCATATTGGGCCCCCCAGTCCAGACCAATCCAGTTATTATCCAAATTTGTAGCCAAATTTTGGAATCATCCTAACTTCAACTCATTAATAAGGGAGACGTCTGGTCATGTTTACCTCCACTGCGCCAATTGCAGCCGCAACACCTCCGACAACATTTGCATTTTTCTTTAAAGTTCCCAGAAGTTGTTTGTAGCACCCCTAGAAAAAAAACGTCAGTTGTAAATGTTAAATATTATGCCTATAATTCAAAACAAAAAAAAACAAATTTAAAAACCATAGAAGAATTTCAGACAAGAATCATTCCTTACTCCAACGTTGGTCTGCTGTGCTAAGGTCAGCGTGCAGGGAGTGGTGTTGTTGCAGCAAGGTGGAGGAAAGCTTTTCCTATTTGTGTTGTAATAAGTTGAGTTCATGAAGTCCGTGTAATTGTTGAAGCCGCAGCAATTCAACTATATAGATGGGCGAAAAAAAAGCAATAAAAGCTTAATTTGCTTTTGAGCGCTGGAAGTTAACCACCTCTTTTATATTTCATAAAAACAGGTATAAATCATATGCTTGAAACAGGTCAAAATAGTGGACCCATCGAAAAAGATGGTATAAATTAATTACCTCACCTGACATCCTTAACTTACTTCAATTAATAACCATATTAACAGAACTTTCAACATTTTATTTAAATGATGTGCAGCTTTGCTCGATCTTAGCTAAGCCACGCAGGCAAGACTTAGCATGATGCAAATTGAGTTCTTTATGTATACTTCTCAGAACTATAATTACATTGCACATCACAATAGGTTTAGTCAGTTTAGCTGTTCAGTAACTTTTGACAGTGTAATCTTTCGCCAATTCAGTGGAGCACAAAAAAACACAAGCCATTAACCATTTTAACAAAGGGTGCCTCTGAATACACACGCACACATATACACATTAAATTTTAAACTGGATAACTAACAGCTATACCATCTGAGCTATCTGAGCTATAACAACAAGCCGGAAACTAGGGGCTATAAGCAATGGCATTGAAGAGAATTTGAGATGGGGGGGGCACTTAATAAATTAAATACAATGGTCAATTTATTGGGCGGATGAATATAGCTAAATTAAATACTGGGGGGAACACATACCCACTGCCCCCCCGGTTCCTAGGCCCCTGGCGATTAGCCCTTACAGAGGCAGGCCTATTCGCATATGGGTTAAATACATATGGAGAATAGACCAATAGTAGGGAACCAGCTAGACAGGAAAGGTTTGCCTGTGGTACCACCTGCAAGCACAAATGAAATGTGACTGTCCAAATAATAGTTTTTCTAGCTTCCCAGTATAGCAGAGTAGTAAATACATGGCCATCTGGCTTCTTACTCGGCGTATGTATGTGATTTCCAACCCAGTTCCAGTAAACCACGTCCCCAGTTCAGTCACCAAATCTTAGCTGAGATATAGCAATCATTTGCTAGCATTTGCAACTGGGAACAACTTCTCTGGGGTTATTTGTCAAATTTTCAAAATCATGCTTTCACAAGTAACTGTAAACATTATAATAGCCTTTATTGGCCTTGTTTGTTGTGCAGTCTGGAGCAGCTGCTATTTCAGAGTAGCGGTAACTCAGACCTATTACTGTAAACTGAGGTGAAAGGAACAAAAAAATCTTGTTAATGTAGCTGCTATATATTAAGACAGAAACAAACAGTTCACCATTGCTTGATCAGTTTTCAATGTTGTGGTTTTGTTTTCTACCTCCAATTACAATGTGACCCTACAGCAAGGGTATTCAACTAAAATTTAAAGAGGTCCAGTTACAGAAAATTTCTTGAAGCTAAGGCCTGGAAGCTCACAATGTCTATTTAGTGTCATATATATTTAAATAACCCATTAGTTGTATCAACATTGCATGTAATCAGTACCTGACTGTCAAATCAAATTAATTCAGTACAATTCAAAAACGTGACATAGAACTTCGGCCAGCTGGCTGGAGTGAGATTTTCAATTAAAGATGTCTGCACACATATCTAACAGTTCTTACCGTGTAAATAGTCTGCTTTTGTTTTTAACCGTGTTAATACACTTCGGGCGTAGCCAATTTTACGTTTATAATGGTATAATATAGATTTGCCGTAAGATTTCCTGCGTGAGTCTGAAAGCGTGTCATGCCAGATGCTTGAGATTTGGCAACCATGAAAACGTACATTTTTTAGTTTCACCTGAGTTGATTTATATAACAAATAACATCACTTTATACAGTTGTTAAAAAGCGGAAACTCGAACGAACTTTGCCAATAAACCACGATTATATACCCAACATGTTATATAATACACACTGGGTTTGAAAACTTTTCAGCTTTACGATTTCAGGACCGAGTAGCCACTCTCTTAGGAACATTACGGCTTTTTGGTTGCGGGTGTTAGCCTCGCTGCTGTTATTAAGCAGCCACTCTGTTAGGAACATTACGGCTTTTTGGTTGCGGGTGTTAGCTTTGCTGCTGCTATTAACACTAATGGCACATTAGCGCAGACAAAGGGCTGCACACGCCGAACTACGTCTATCTTGGCGATGAAAGGTGTTTGACGTTCATTGGCGTGGGAAACGGCGGTTCTACTGCTAAACCACTACCGAAAAGACTACAAAAGTTGCTCCGGTTAAAATAAAAGCGCCCCGTCAGGTTTTAAATCACAACTTTATGTTTTGGCTGCAAGTCCGGGTCCGTATGGGACAGCTTCTGGGTCCGGACCCAGATCGCGGTCCGCCTGTTAGTGACCGCTGCCCTACAGTATATCCGACAACAAGGGGTGTGGTTTACTGGAACTTGGTTGGAAATTATGTACATGATGCTTGTGCAAATCTGGAGTAAGGGAAGTTGCTAGGATCTTAAGACATCCGGGCCCAAGAACTTAATCTCTCTGAGGGTTTAACGGTTGTTAAAACATTTGTGCTAAATAAATCATTCTGGCTTCATTTTGATTCATTTAGGGTTTCAACCGCAGGCTTGTGATGTATCTGTCTGGGGCATTTTTAAATCAAACTACCTCAATACCATCATCCATCCATCCACTTTCTGCAACCGCTTATCTTATTCAGGGTCACAGGGGGTCTGGAGCCTATCCCGGAGGCTATGGGCATAAGGCAGGGAATTACCCAGGATGGGGCACCAATCCATTACAGGGCACACTCACACACCATTCACACCTATGGGCAATTTAGTAACTCCAATTAACCTCAGCATGTTTTTGGACTGTGGAGTACCCAGAGGACCCGACACAGGGAGAACATATAAACACACACATGGAGCCATGGCGGTGACTCGAACCCTAGTGAACTGGCTCAATGGTTATTTTGTAAACCCGTTGTTTGTAAAGCTGTGACCCAGTCTGCACAGTGAGTCAGTTAACTGTCTACTGAGTGGGTTTTCTTGATTATGGCATTAATTTGAAAATTTGGCTCAATGGTTGTTTTCAAATTATTGTCAAAATCAAGAAAACCTGCTCAGTACACAGTCAACTATGTGGCTCACTTTATAGACTGGGTGACAGCTTTATAAACAACAGATTTACAAACCCCTGGGATGGCAGGTACTACTAATATCTCATGCCTCTATATTGCTGAAAACTCCTTAGGCTTACCACACAACACTCATACAACATTATGCCTGTGTATATATAAGTCTATGTCCTCAATGTCTCTGGGAAGATCATCATATTTTACTTTGACTCTTGTGGTCTGTCAAACAGACAAAAAATCCATCAAGTTCTCCCCATCAATTAACAATTTTTTCTTATTGATTATTATCTGAAAGCATAGATATGTATATGAACTTTGAGTTATGATATAGTGTCACGTACAGACTTGACTCTACTTGAATGACTACTAATTCTTAATTGCAACTACACCGAACTAACTGCAATACAGTCTTTTTAAATTGAATTACGTAAACTACTGTTGATCAAGTATTAGCTCAAGTACTGAAAGAGTGATGAATGTCTCATCCTTTCAGTCCTTTCAAATGGCACTCCATAAATTAGAGTGTTATTATGAAGTGTCACAATGTTGTAATAGAGACTGTTTATGTCGGCCTTAGGGTATTGTAGTTCAGTGCATTGCAAACGCATCACTCTTAAGGGACATGCAGGTAAACTTGCACTTGTCATGGTGTCATTCCATATCTGCGTGACCACCGCGTTATTGCCATACTGGTTCTGCAATTCAGGTTCGGCCCACGCCTGCAGGATGCTCTGTGCCTGGAGATGGTGACAGAATGGGTGAATCAGCAATCTCCAGATAAAGATCTGGAACACCTTACAAAATCCAAGTGACATCCAATCATCAAACAAACAAGCAAACAGCCAAAGACGTACAGGTAATTGCATGTCTTGCAATATGGCGTGGTTATTGGAGTACTTAAACTAGTCATGTCAAAATTACTTTATTAAGATGCAAACATATTATGAAACTGACAACAGTCCATGAAAGTGACTGGTCAGACTATAACGAGTACAGATATTGCGTTGCCATGACGAAAGGAGATCAGACTGCACACAGAGTGACCAGTAGCCCAGCAGATGAAAGGCAAAGCCTTGCAGTGTAACTGCATCTGAACAGTGTTTGACTGCTGACAACACGCCACAAGTGTGACAGTAATTGGGCAACGCTTGGTCAGGGGATTATATATGCCCACTCAAAGCTTCTCTGGACTATCTGATAGGAAACAAGTTTTATTTTTTGCACTTTAAGCTTTCTTTTTGATTTTTATAGATCAAGCCATAATTAATATTTTTTTCCTAGTATTCTATTATGACATATTGTTAAGAAAAAGGTTGGTTTTGACTCATGCCTAAAAGACTCTACCAGTCGTTGTGTCCATATACATTATTGATAGACACAGAATCCAAGATTTTATGGATACCACAATGAAAAAGTTTCAGAAAATATGCATTGGGAAGGGGGCATTGTGACAGCTCAGTGATTAGTACTGTAGGCTACACCTGCATGGATGCAGGTCTGGTTGTTATCCTGGCTGTGTGTTTGCATGTTCTCAGCCTGGGGGAGGCTAACAGTCATCCTGTGCAAGATAGGTGGTATTGGATAAATGAAAGCATTTGGATGTATACTTACAAATGAAGCGTAGACCAGGGCAACAACTGCAGCTGCAATTTCAGCTATGAAGATAATCAGGATGACGCTGAAGAACTGGGGAGGGGGAGAAAGGAAGAGAGTCTTTAGGGGACAGTGAGTCCAAACACAGAAGATTTGCTCTGTGTTTCATGGTACTATGACTCAGTCAGTACGTTTTACATCACACATGTAAAAAAAAAAATTAAAAAAAATAAAAATTATTATTAAAAAATTATACTAATGGGTGCGAGGACAAATGAACTGACACAAACTTTTATTGTGATCTGGTTGGAAGAACAGATACGATAAGATCAGGATAGCATAACAAGAAATAAAGAATTTTGTTTAATGTGTACAATGTATTTGTATAATGTGATTTTGTTGTAATAAATATTGGGGTATTTATGAAACAAAAAGGAGTTCAACATAAATTTCTCACAGATCTGTCTAGGCGTGATTTAAACAGCAAAGATGAAATGTTATATAATTATTATGATTGCCTCGGAGAATGCAAGCAGCGCTCAAGCAAGTAAACTTTAAACTGATTTTTAAACACATACTAGATAATATTAAAACAATTATTAAAATTAAAATTGTAAAACTTGCTAGTTTTTTTTTCCTATGACAGAATAAATATGTTTTAGCAAGATTTAAACTCCCTGCGCTATAATGTTCATACCAAACTGAAGGTAAGAAAAAGCCTGATCTTAATCTAGCTGACTAGTGATGTAAGAATTGGATGTGCATAACATGTCATGTTGGTATTAATATAGCACGTCGGCCAGCCCTATAATATACTACAGCCATTTTTTGAATTCAGTACAAAATAACGCACCTTGTGTTGTGATGTCATTCAGCACTAGTACTAGTTTTTATGGCAGAGGAAAACCAACACCTTGAAGTACTGTACTTTTGGTACCTTCTTGAAGTACCAAAACTATGGTACCTGGTGTGGTGGAAAAGCGCCCTTTAGTTGAGCAGTGGATTGGACAGCTTTACCATGCTGTACATTTCGGACGTGCTGTACGTCCTCTGCTATGCTCCATGATTCCTCTTTGTACCAGCTTCTTCTGTTACTGCCAAGCCAAAGCCCAGGGGAGGAAAATTTGGAGCATGTGCAGAGCGCCTAGGCCAGTTTGAGTCCGATTGAACGTATACATGCAGTAGTACTGTAAATCGACTCCCAATCGCATCATCTTGGTGTCCTAGTCCGACTTTTCGATTTGATTTAGTACAATTCGTTTTAGTACAATTTCAGTTGGACTAATATGTTTACATGTCCTTTAAAAGTCTTAGTGAAAAAGTAGTAAAAAAAAGTTTTAGTCGGAATAGCACAATAATTCGATTTTCTCAGTGTGCCTGTAAACGTGCTGACTGTGAATCACATAGATAAAGGCAATGGATTAAGAGCAAGACCATAGCTTAGCATCCAGGGTACATCCTTACCACGAATTCAGCCGGATATCATGGGATTAGCTTTGTCCCTCGACAGACACCATGAGCACTGTTTGTTAACTCCAGGGCTGCAGGGTTGGGTTCATATCTGGACTGACCATCTGGCATACCAGATGGGTATGTGGACCTGCAAAATTTTCTTTGGGGGACCCCCCGGTCTACAAAATTTATGGTGGGGTACCCCAAAGTCCAGGGATAATTTTAAAACCCATCTCAGCCCTGGTTTGAATTTCACCGCTGTGTGTCAATCTTGCATGCACTCCCCGTGTCAGCGTGACATTTCCAGGGGCGTGGAATCTCTGTGATTCCAGAGGGTTGTTGAAAATGATGGATAACAGCTTGCATCAATAAGGGAAATGAGATCTATAAGCCCTTGGTGTGCTGCACTGTACTTGGGTTAATGCACCTGGAACTGGCACATGGATTAAGCCACCGAGCCGTTGACCGTACATGATAACCGCCCCCCCCCCACCCCAGAATGAGCTGAGGAGCAATGGCAGGAGGCTCCCAGGACTTCCTACCAGGATGAGAAGACACTTGCTCTCCTTCATAGCCCCGCAGCATCCAAAGAAACCGAGGATCACCAGCACGGCTCCAATGACGATGCAGAAGTAGCCCACGTTGACAAACTGTGTGGCCTGGTTGGCAAAGGGCCCCAGCACCTTCAGGAAGGAGTTCCCGTCCACACTCACCCAGATTCCCACTGCCAGCAGTCCAGCGCCCCCTAGCTGAAACAGGAAGTGTATTGTCATGTGCAATGAGATCCTAACCAACATGCTTCAGGCAGAGACAGGCTGAACTACAGACTGAACTACAATCGAATACAGAAGCAGGAGCCTAAATATAGGTGCATTAACAATAACCGTAGTGTATTAGCTTATGTCATATTTGTATGTGTTAATGTTTAAATTTTGATATTAAATATAGACGCTCCTCTACTTACGAATGAGATACGTTCCGAGCGGCCATTCGCAACTTGAAATGTTCGTAAGTCGTTATTCAACATCATTTTAAGGGTATACGCAAGTACTAAGAACTAGGATGCTGGAAGTACGCACACTACGCTGCTGCGCGGCGAGAGCAGCAGCCAGAAGTCGTACTAGGCGAAATTAGCACGCAGAAAAAAATTATGTTGCAGACAGGAAACGGGAGCCCAACGAACACAATTTACACGATTTACAGTCGTCTTCGTTCGTATGTCTGAAAGTTCGTAAGTAGAGGAGCGTCGATCTGTATATAAATCCACAATATTGTTTTATAAAATACTATATGTATTTGTATGCTGCTATCTCTGATTTTTCTCATAAGTAATAAATTTGAAACTAATTGTACTGTACAAAGTTAGAAATGCACTATTTGATAGATTCCTCCACTCCGCTCAGGTTTCCATTGGAGCGACCTGAGGTCAGTCTGCCCCCGGCCCCCTTCCCTACTTTAGAATTTAGTGATTAATTGTCATTGTTGACACAGCACAGTGCACAACAACACAATGTGTTCTCTGCATTTAAGCCATATGTGACATTGCAGGGGGCAGCTAATTCAGCACCCGGGGAGCAGTGCTTAGGGGCAGTACTTTGCTCCGGGCATCTCAGTGGTGCCTTGCTGGTTAGGGATTCAAACCTGCAATCTTTCAATTACAAGCGTGCTTCCCTAACCATTAAGCCACCGCTGCCCAGAAGTGGCAGTCAGCCGAGCTCACAAACTAGATTCTAGATCCATTTGTTTTGATAATTTTAATATTTGTTGTATTTCTCAATTGTGTGTGTTTCCCCATGTCTTACGGGAACCCTGTCCGATCCTCGCATTTCTTTAGCGTTGTATAAATTACCCACCGCGTGTGTGTTTTACTGTCCAGTGCCAGACCTCCTGGTGTTTGCCTGGTTCGCGTGGTTTATTGTTTGAGTACCTATATTACTTATGTTAAGAAACCAATACAAACACTTCGGTCTCTTCTGCAAGATATTGCGCTTCGGTATTCGTTTTTATAATAATGAAAAACAGCACCTTGTGGTGCCTGAGGTATGGTACTACCTGATTTGGTGGAGAACTGTTGAATGGAAGTAAAAAAAAAAAAAGACCGAAAAACAGCCAAGTTTACATAATGAAGACGTTACATCAATTCAAAAGTTGTAATGATATAAGTTGTTTTCATTTAATTTGATTTGTAGAGGTAAAGGCAAATCGTTTTTGCTGTATTGTAATAGTTGAGTTAGTCTAACTTTAAAATACTCATAGTTTACTCAATAACCGGAACCAGAATAACTTAAAAACGCGTGCAAATTAATTTTTGGGTTTTTTAAATTCTCTACAAGCATATCTTAAGATAAATCAAAAACGTGTCACCTCCTATAACTTGAGAAATCCATGCAAAGTGTTTATAGGTCAAACAAGTAAACATCAAGTATACGTCAAACCATGACAGGCATTGCGACATTATTTTTATGAAGTAGTACAAAGAGGTACAACCGTAACCACACGTATTTAGGCTAATCAAGAAACATTTTAAATATCTATCCACTTTAACGCAATTTGTCATTCTTTTTTTTTTACATAAATCCTTTAGTTTAAGGTTAGTTGAGATTAAATGCTCTGGTACCGATTAATAGTGGTTTATGCTGTCACGGGGTAAAATTCAAGCAGGAGGAAATGAAACCAGTTTTACCATACAGGGTGACTACACAGAGAACAATTCACGGAAGCGTAAATGGTGACTCTTGTACATGAAAGCAAGGAGTCTGACCGCACTTCTCATTACCTCACCCACTAGGATTAACTCCACCCTTCTTAAAATGTTTCCTCAGTGCGCAACTTCTCTGTTTCATTCAATGTTGTAAGCAAGGGCATAACTTTCGGTTGAGTTTTGGGGGGGTTGAGGTTTCCACCTATTTAAGGGGGTCCAGGACGTTGTATTGGCTGGTTTTGACTATTGCTTTACGCCCATGGTTGTAAGTGAATGCAGTGACAAAGAATATAGTGTTATGTCATGACAAAAACCACAAACGCCAAAAGTCTTTGGAAACATATTTGGTTTGGGCGTCTCACCAAGGCACCATTATATGTAGGCTACTGAGATTTCGAATTTGAGATACAACTACGTGTGTGCTCAGAATCTATAACCTCAACCCGTTAAATTTGCAAAAAAAATAAAATATTAGCCTAGATCTTTAAAATAATGAATGCTTGTCATGCTTGTGTATTCTAGTCCTTCTACATCTGGATTATTTTGGCATTACAAATCCGATTTCTAATAATCTGTAGTTAGCTTTGATAAAAACCCACACGGAGTATGTTCAAAATAAATACAGACTGAAGCAAAATGAGAGATTCAAGTGAGGTGAAACTATATCATAACCAGGGGAGTTTCTAGCTGTTGAAACAAATCCGGGGCCAAGTGAAGTTTACCCGGGGCTTTACCTTGTTTTAAGGAAGGAAGATTGGCATCGGGACTAAAATACTCGACCTCACTTTATATATATATATCATACTAGGGGCTATGAATATTTTAAAGTACAGCCCCGGGCATGGGCTTAAATTACGGGTGGGGGGGGGGTTGTAGCCCCCCCAATAAATCAAAACCAGCTAATACAACCCCCCCAATAATCATGTTTCCCCCTTAATAGGTGGAGACCTCAACCGCCTCCCCCAATGTTCCAGCCAAAGTTACGCCCTTGGCCCCGGGTAAACTTAACTTAGCCCCTAATTTCTTTCAATAGATAGAAACGCTCCTGGTCATTACACTATATGTTTGTAAACTAACACCACAGTAAAATGCTATTACTTCAGTTCATTCATTCTAAGAACCAGCATAAGAATATAAATGTTGGCTGAAAACATCTACTGGAAAGTTGGACAAATTAATGTAATGGTGACAAACGTTAAAGCCCTTTTACAACACTGGTCGATTCCTTCGAAAATCTCCATGTTAAGGCTTATTATTTTAAAACCTTCCCTGAGATTATTTACAGCACAGTCATATATTTGTATATAAGCGTTTTTCTCGGATGATCTCCTTCAAAAATCGTTAAATACACACATAGGCCTACTCAAAGCTAACAGAATATTTCCCGTCACATAGCCTATCGGTTTCTTTACGGTTGCCTTCGAAATGGCAGGAATACTCACAAAAATCAGGAGGTTGAACAAGATCATCATGACCTTTATAAAAGTGAAGCACCCCATTTTTATCTGTAAAACAAAGGATCTGGGTTAGTACTTAATACGGTTTACAAAGGTGACAGGTGAACTTTGCGGAATTTAATTAATAAGCAGGAATGTTTTTGGAAGACAAACAGAAAGGTATTCGTGACTTGAGGCAAATTCTCGCTGTCACCAAGAAAGAATACGTGTAAATTTCGACAATCATACCTCTTTTAGTCTCCGCTGTTTCTTGGGATGGAAACCGGAGTAAACTGAACTGAAAACTGTTTCACTGTTTGTCTCTCTCAAAAGTGACCTATTCGGGTTAATATGTTTGCACAAACTGGTACAGGTGTGGTATAGGGGTGGGATGAAGGTGAATCTCAACAGGTTTCGGAAATGCTACGGTAGATTTCGTGTGATAGACTTGTGACCTCTGCTGGTAGAGACGTCGATCAGTTAAATACACATAATTTAAAATTCTTTTTTTTTCTCATGAAACCAAGAGTCTGACATTTACAATATATCGTGAGGTATATGATAGTCGTATACAGTATTCCATAACTTATAGGGCTGATTATATGTAATTATTAGGGGTGTATTTTTTCTACCATAATTCGTTTCAATTATTCCATTATTCGATTATTTTGATAACCTAAATTCAAACCAGGGGCGTCGTTAGGTCCGGTCACTCGGGGCTATAGGCCCATGTATTTTAAGACTATAGCCCCGTGTATTTTAGCCCCGATGCCAATCTATCTTTAAAAAAAAAGAAAAAAAGTCAAGCCCCAAGTAAACTTGACTTAGCCCCTGATATTTTCAATAGCTAGAAACTCCCTTGCTTCAAAAACTTAACTGAAAAGAAATACACTAAAACGATCATATGAAACTGAATCTATACAAATATATACTGTTAAAGGAATACCAACAAAGTGAAATCTCAGAACGTTAATTTACACTGCTGTTATTAAACAGGACTAAAAAAAACAACATTTTAAATTAATGTTTAAGACGTGTCCGTTCACTAAGTTGTCGTGTCATTAGTTTGTATTTTTTTACAATCGGAACATTGCTGTGTTCTGTCAGCATCAGGACTTTGGCTATATTTATTTTACAGTTTGCTTTCAAAATGAACTGATCCACATGTTCTGCAGTGAGAATGCTTCTTTGGAGGAAGTAAGGAGAGAAATTAAGAGAATATAGAGTATTTATATTTCCTACACAAAGAGCTCCTACATTTTAAATAAAACAGAACTTCCGGCCCTGATTAGAAAAAGATACATCAAGGCTCTCAAGTTTCATCAAAACTGTGGAGTGAGATTACATCTGTTAGGTGCGTAGCATTCATCGGATCTTGCTCTTCCACTTCCACCTTTTCTGCGCTCCGTGTGTGTGCATCCACGTAATAACGTCCTTGCAGCGGGATCACATGTAATTGATTTTGGCTGCTTGAAGTTAATTAAAAAAAAAAAAAAAGAAATAAAAAAAAAAGAAAAAAAAATGTAACTGATTTTGGAATTTACCCGGAAACAACAAATGTTATTTTCTGATTGGCTGGTAGGTGGCTATTAACACTGTATAACTCTGTATGGACAGCTCTGAACTATATAACGGAACACCCTGGTGTGCGCTGTACCTTACTGGTCAGCGTAAGAAATACAAGGTGTGGCGTGTGAACGTGTGAACTGGTTGAAATGGGTGTGTCTCGCGGTCATTGCGTGAGATTTGAGAGCCCAGGTTACACATTTTTATGTTTGAGTTAAATTGTCACCCACATTTACATTTTATGTGGTATAAAAATGCAGGTGATCTGTCTAAATAGGCTGCCTTGTCGAATTTTGCTGTCGTAGCACAATTCGATAGATCTAGTCCATGGTTCTTCAAATCTGGACCTCGATTCCAAATGCAGGCCTTGTTTTCAGTTCTCCCAGGTAGTTAGTTTAATAATTACTGATTCTGATTGGTCAGAGGCTTCACACCTGGCTGACAGGTAAAGGAAGGCTGGAAAACCAGCAGTGCTTGGACCTCGAGGATCGTGATTTGAATAACCCTGATCTAGTTTATTGATTTGTGCTCCCCTGTCAAAAAATGTGTTTTCGGTATGTAATACTTTGTGTGCAGAAAAACATAGTAGTAGTACATGCAGAAGGCCCTGTAGCCCCCTGGTGGTTAATTGTGACATATACGCTCAGAGGCCCTGGTGATCATCTCTTGCTCTCGTATTGTATATGATGGCCGTAATTTTTTTTTTTGCACTAAAAATGCTGTGACGCACAAGTGCTCAGTAGTGCTCCGAGGTGCCAGGGCACTAGTCCCACTGGCTCCTTTGACCCGGTCCCTAATCCAGTCAAGTATGAACACTGGTACAAAATGTGATCTAGTCTTTCCAAAAGAAGTGTCCAAAACTTGCTCACTTTACTGGTGTAGGAGAAGATCACCCCTAGGATTCCACAATGCAGGTTTTACTTACTTTGTGCTATTTTACCATAGGTTCTTTTTCACTACAGTGGTGATCTTCTTAGAGTCTATGAGAGCACAGTTTGCTGAACAGTTCATAAAGCTGCAGCACTCATTGTGTCACTCTGCACAGCCTACATGACAATGCCAAATACAGAGGAACAGCAGGACATCTGTACTGCTTTTCACAATAAAACTGGAATTCCAGGAGCGTCTGGAGCAGTTGACAATACCCACATTCCTATCCATTTTCACAGGCAATGAAAGGCATTCTTTTATATTACCTGGCATGGATATGCCTCAATAAACTGTCAAATGACGTGTGACCATCAGATGAGGATTCGTAATGTCATGGCTAGATGGGCTGGGGGTACCCATGACGCCTGGCTATTTGACAGCAGTCTTCTGACAAGAGACCTTGAACAAGGCTTGTACTGCGGTGTGCTGGTGGGTGACCATGGTTATCTTCTTTAAAGGTACCTTTTGACACTTGTGGATAATCCATCAACACCACCCAAGATACAACAGGAGCCAAACGAATGCAAGGATCCACAATGAAAAGGCTTTTTGCATTTTTAAACAGTGTTTTACCTGCCTGTCACTTCTGCGTACCAGTCCATTTTGGGCCAGCAACGTCATTATAGCCTGTGCTGTTGTCCATAACCTGTTTATTGACTCTATCTATTGAATCATCAATTGCAGCTCCAAGACTTGTAGCACACATGGGCACATTTGACAAAGTTGACATTGTACAGCCAATGCAAAGGGAAGGTATAGTGCTTCAGAGCAGTCGTGAACCACCACTTTTGAAAACATTAAACACAAGTAACAGTTCAGCGTCGGCTTCTCACCCCAGTGACCATCTCAGACATTCCGCCTCTCCTGGAAGTCTCCCACAAATTTACAGCAGCTCCCTGACACTCACAAATGGTGCACAATGTTCTGGAAATCCATTGTTCCACTATTCAGCGGTGGTGAAATTGGCTTGCAAAATTTTTTACTGCTGCAACCCTATCCAACACAAGACTAATATCTCATTTTTAATGCTGTCATACCGTCTAGACATAAGGTGGGGAACCTGTTCCATGGAGGGCCGTTGTGGGTGCGGGTTTTTGGGATGACCTCTCAATCAGCCAAAAAGCAGTGGGTCCCCAAGACTGGAGTTGAGAACCACTGTTTTATTATTGGCTGATGACGAGGTCATCCCAAAAACCTGTACCGGCCCTCCATGGAACAGGTTCCTCACCCCTGGTCTAGAGTTAGGGGCACAGGCTCTGCGCAATCTGGGAAAACCATGTAAATGTTTTTGGTGCCCTTGGCAACTAAACTGAACATGCCGAGCAGTGAAAACATGACTAACGTGAGATACAAAGATCACTGCAAGATCACTGCAAGATACCATATGAGAGGCTGCTGTAAACATGCTTCGCATCCTCCAAACCAGCACTGTACACATGTTTTATGCCAGAGCATTTAATCTCCAGGTGTTCAATCTCTTAGGCAATTCCTGGCAACGACTCTAAACTTCCGGCTTTTGTTCCTTAATTTTCACCATTCCTAAATTGCTCCTGTGAAGTTCCCCCAACACCCTGGGTCTCTGCCTAGCTGTCATGACAGTTCTCAATCCCCACATCACACAACCAGGATTTAGAACAAGCTCATCCAGTCTAGGATATTACTCAGCCAGCTGGGACTTGTTGGTTGTCCAGTCATACTGTGCAGCTGCATGAACTTAAGATAGAAACTTGTCATGCCAACTTTCTGGTTTCATCATGTCTGCTGTCACTGGGAGGCTTTCAGTCTGACTGATGGAGGATGTATCCAAAGCTGCTATTGCACAATGTTCCTTTGTTCCCTCCAGTGGCAGTCGAGACAATCCATCTGCTTTTGTGTAGCATTTGTACTCAATCTTGTGTTGATGGACAGCCAAAAACAATGTCCAGCGTTGCATTTGTGGCAGGAATACCCTTCTGTGGGCTGAAAATCGCGGTTAGTGATGATCTGTAACAAGAGTACATTCTCTACCAAACCGATTTTGATTAAACCTTTTTACACCTCATACAAGACTCAGTGCCTCTCTGTCAGTTTGCGAATAATTCTTCTCTGCTGCAGGCAGGGAGACTGATGCAAATACTATGGGTCTCTCACTACCATTTTCCATTACATGAGGCATCACCACCCCACTGCTGTACAGTATGTCGAAGCATCACATACCAATTTCATCGGGAGAAATGGATTGAAATGTATCAGAACTGTGCCAGATGTGACAAACATCTTTGCATCTTGAAATGAACACTTGTATGCCTTGGTTCATATCCATGGTCATCCAGTTTGCAGTAATTTTTTGCAGGGATGCAAAGCTGTTGCCTGGTTGGCGGAAACCTGTTGTGATACATCACAAACCCTAGGAAAAACCTTAGCTGTGAAGCATCTTGAGGTCTTGATGCTTCAGCACTTTGCAGTTGTGGGGGCTTTTGTCCCAGTATGCCTTGGACATTTATAGCGTACCCACGATAGGCAACAATGGGTTTCAGAAACTCACATTTATCCCACCTTGGTCTTAGCCCAAAGGTTTCCAACCCTTTTCAGGTCTTCTAGCTGCACTGTAGCCCCAGTGACAACGACATGGTAAAGATAGTACTGAGCTCCTGGTATTCCACGAAGGATCTGTGTTGTGATGGCTGGGGTCAAATAAGGAGCAGGAAGCAGGAGTAACCCTATAACTTTACTAAGTTCACGCACGCAAGCAGCAGTACATGCGGAGCGGGAAAACCGCGTAGGAGAACTAACCCATGCACTTCATCAACCGGAAGCTTCCCTTCTTACACATGTACTTCGGGTAACACAGTATACATTATAATTGCATTAAACACAACAATCTGATCCATAGCCCCTTGCCAAATCAATTAATAAGGAAATCAACTAA